CTTCGTTTTTGGACCTCGGTTTTTCAAAACGGGTTTCAGCTGGCTAGACTTTAGCTGGGTGATAATCGATTATCACCTTAGTGACAATCGACTATCAGCCACTGCAGCTTTGAACTTCCAAGTTCTGAAGCACTAAATAATCGATTATCAGATTTGCAATAATCGATTATCAGCCTTGCAGCCAAAACCCAGAATCTTCAGAGAGGACCAATAATCGATTATCACTTGTTGACAATCGATTATCTGGGTTACCGTTGTCCTCCAACGGATAGAATTTTAAATTTTTGGACAGGGAATCTTTGGATAATCGATTATCATGGTTTGACAATCGACTATCAGCCTGTGTCTCTGAAAAATTTGTCTTCATCCTGTTGGAAATTCTAGCAACGGTTTTATCCCATTTTGGGCTATAAAATGGCACCCAAATCCTCTCATTTTACACACAATTCTTCAACATTTCAATACTCATTCATTGCATAAGCATTTCTATTTTTCTTAGCTATTTGAGAGCCAATTCTTGAAGAAATTGTCGTGTTCTTGAGCGTTTACTAGTTCACTCATATCTACTCTTTGTGAGAGTTTCATTCCTGAGTGTTTAAGTGTTTTCATACACTTTAAGAGAGTTTGTTCCCTTGTTGTAAACTCGAAGGAAGTTTCTTGTTCCTTCGTGAGAAGTCTTGGAGTGCGGTATCTCCGAGCAAAGGTGTTGAGGCTCGTGTGACTCGGGTTCTCAAGTTGTATCGGTTTGTTAAGCACCCTTAAGCTTAACGGAGTTAGTGTAGCTCGAGAGAGTCTTTCGGGGGGCTGGATTAGCCACACGTTGTGGTGAACCAGGATAAAATCCGGTGTGCTCCTTCTTTACGCTCTCGTTTTAATTTCCTGCGATTTTGTTTTAAACGCTATTCACCCCCCCTCTAGCGTTGGGCCTTTATTCTAACACTAAGGCCTTCCCGGGATAGTAAATATCAAAGGGCCATTAAAAGACTTAATCGCCCGGAAGAGGGGGCCCTGGAAGAAGGGTGCATTTTGGGCCTTGGAGAGGGCTCGAAACCATCCGACATGGTTAATTCTCCAATGTTGACCTGACCCGGCCAGCAGCATTATCTTATTGGAAGACTGAGACACAGGCCTGGCTTGGCACGCTGGTTACTACACCGGTCTTGCTCAGTATAATAAAGAAAATATGTGACCAAGTCGAACTGGTACACTGGTCTCACACCAGTCTTAAACATATTTTCCAATAAGCCTGAGCCCAATCGAATTGGGTACACCGATTGCACATCGGTTTCAGCAAAAAAGTGAGCAAAGCTCATATCGGGGACGCCCGATTCATTTAAGCCCTCAATCTGAGGCACTCGGATCGAAGATGATCTCCGCGAGATATGAAGATATTTGCATCAGTCAGCCGGGCTAACAATGATCTTCAACAAAGCTACCGCATCAGATTCAATCCTTATTAACTAAGGTCGTCGACGTCAGTATACTAATTTCGTCACGCATCGTGTGCTTGACTCGTATTAACACCGACCACGACGAAATAACTTTTCGAAGCATCGTTGCTTTATCGAACTGACTTCGCTCTCGTTACGATAATAATTCGCGTGAAGTTTAATCACCCTAACACCGAGCTCCTCGGTAAAGATAATAATTATTTGAGCACGGCATAGGCCGGTCAAGAAAAAGAAAATATATTGTACATATTATTTTTTGCAGGAAAATATCTGATTCAAGAAATTAGAGGATTAATGAAGACTCGGAGGACTAGCAATATCAACCGGTCAAGAATGCTAAAGATAACACTCGGAGGACTTGTTTACTTTTTTAAGTTGATTCTCACAACTTAAAAAAGTGGAAGACTTATTGATGGGAAATAATACGTGGCTCGGCCCACATTTCCCAATTATTTACGAAGAACAGTCAAACCGGACCTGTTTAATAAAATGGGGGAATAAGAGAATATTCCCCGAATATGCTTCCTCTCCTCCCCTATAAAAAGAGGGTTTGCCCTAATAGTTAAGGAGGCCAATTTCACTCCTCTCCTGCCAGTTTCTCTTTCTAGATATTTTTAGAGTATATTTTTCTTCTTCTTCAAGAGCTTCTAGCTCCACCATTAATGGCTTCTAAGCCTAAATCATGTACCGTGTACACACCCCCGATATTAATAAAAAATCCCCCGTTGCCAAGGTACCGCCAAAAAAGGCCCGTGGTTTTCTCCCGATTTGGGTTTCCACGTCAAAATCCCCGTATTTATATTTTGGTGTATTTTTTAGACTAGTTTATCGTTTTTGCCGGGCTAAAACGATATACCAGTCGATAATTTACACCATCAGAGTAGATAGATAAGTTTCTGGGAGCGGCTACATCAGCCGTGACTTGTGATCTGGTGATGGTCTGAGTCTAAGATCCCATATGTTTGTTTTTCTTGTTTCCACCTCTTTTTAGAACTGCAGGTTTCAAGACCTTGTTCTTCAGCCTTCTGCTATGCTTCAAGGATGGCCAGCTGCAGTTTGAATGTATATGTTTAGGACAGTACACTATTTTTTTATTTCATTATTTCTCTTAACAATTACACATTTACAATTTTATACTTATAATAATTTAAAACAAAAAGCAAAAAAAAAAGAGATTGCCTAAACTGGCCGATCCAGTATAAGAACCGCCTATCCAGGTATTGGAACGGGTGGTTCCTGAACAGGAAGCCTCCCGGAACCGGAACACCCCACCCCTAGTGATAATACGGAAGAATACGGTCTTTGCTTTCTTTGGAGTACAAGTGGATTTATTCTATTTTTGCCTCCTAAAAAGATTTCCCAGGCCGCTTCCCCGAACTCTGCATTTTGGTGCCCCCTTCAGCTAGATCGTGGCTCCGCCACCGCCACTACTTCTTACCACTTATCTATGGCATCTTTGTCTTCTCGACACCTCAAATCTCCCTTTCGCGCTCTGACTACAAACCCAACCTCTGTAAGCTCGGAACTGACTGAAAGTTTATTGGAGTTTCTTAATCGCATAGTTGATTGTTTTCTTATCTGTTTACTCTTTCAGGGTTCTATTAATGGAGAATTTCCAGCGGCTCTTGCCTGCAAGCCTAACGTGAGTGGAAGGGAATTTCGTGTATCTATTGCCAAGAAATTCGAACTGAATTGCCTGAAACACATAGAAATGGATGCCACTGTACCAGTCCCCATTGGTGCCCCTGCTCAATCCATGGGTGGGCTGTAAACAATACTTTTCCGTCCACTTACTCCATTTTGTTGCAAGATGTATGATCTAGTTAATTGAGTATTGGAATGATTTGTGCAGATATGGAGGGCAAGGCACCTACGGAGCAATGGGAGCCAAAAGAGCCAAGCTTTTCAACAGTGCTGATGAATTTTTCTGATGAACTCGACCCTTACGATGCCATGAGTACTCCTTTGTATCAGACAGCTACTTTTAAGCAGGTAATTCTCATGAAGAAGAAAAGGAATAGATCGAATTGCCTCATATATGTTTTTAGCCAGGTGGTTTATTATACTTGAATAATTGTTTTTTGATAATAACTGAAAATCATAGTGATAGAGTCAACCCGATACTCTATGAATAGTGTGCATCGCCACCATTCAACATTCATATTGCAATTCTAGTTTGGTAATGAGTGTCATATGACATTTTGTGCAGCCTTCAGCAACAGAAAATGGCCTTTATGATTATACAAGGAGTGGAAATCCAACAAGGGATCTACTAGAAAAGTTTGTAGCTTCTTATCCACATATGGCAGCCTATACAGGCATGTATCATGGCATGACACTCTCTCATCAAAGTACCTAATATTTCAGGCTTCTTGCAAAGATTGAGAAAGCAGATCGTGCATTTTGCTTCACCAGTGGAATGGCTGCCTTGACAGCAGTAACTCGTCTTGTTGGAACAGGTACTTTTCAATGTTCTTAGTTCGTTGAGAAAACAAAGAACTTTTAAATAGGATGGTATCAGGTCATCCAGTTGCTCCTTTGGCTAGATATATTCTTTAGTTCCTTGAGATTACTGTAGATGGTGTTGGTTGAGGCAACACTGAGTTTACATATTGTCTAGGTGTATTTTGGTTGTTTTTTCTCATAACATTCTTTTTAAAAGTTTAGAGTATATTGTGCATATCTATTCCTTATGCCATAAGTTTGGTGTCTCCATTGATAAAACAACTAAAAGAGTACTCCCTCAGTTCCATATTATGCTTGAATCTTTGACATTCAAAGTCTCAAATGCAATGTTTTGCCCATTTGCACTTACACATAAATACTCCCTCCTTCCATAAAAAAACTTCCCGGTTTGACCGGGCACACAATTTTAGGAGAGATGAAATTGGGGTTGACTTTCCTAAAATGCCCCTCTATTGTTTCTCATTTACCAATGCACCATATATCCCTCCGTCAAGAATGAACAACAAAACCATGGCTGGATCCGCCCTCAAGAACAACACTGAGCAAGTCAAGAATAAAACAACACCGAACAATGGAACAATATTAAAAATCCAAAACAAAAATGAAAAGTTTAGAGTATATTGTATGTTTCTATTCTTTATGCCATAAGTTTGGTGTCTCCATTGATAAAACAACCAAAGGAGTACTCCCTCAGTTCCATATATTATGCTTGAAACTTTGACATTCAAAGTCTCGAATGCAATGTTTTGACCATTCATATCTGCACTTACACATAAATAAATATTTTAAGCGCGTTATATTCTAACACTACATTTCAAAATGAATCTTATTTAATTAAGTTCACATTATCGAAAAATGCATTTTTAATGCAAAACATGGTCAAATTTTATAAAGCTTGACCAAAAAAGTAAAGTATGAGCAATATTATGGAAGAAAGGAAGTATATAGAGAAAATATCATTCTAAAACTCTTCAGTATCAATTGCTTAATAGGTGAGGAGATTGTTGCCGGGGACGACATATATGGTGGTTCAGATCGGCTATTGTCACAAGTTATCCCAAGAAGTGGAGTTGTTGTGAAGTTAGTACGAGCTTCGTTTTTAAACTTTGTTCTCACTTGAGTCATTTCTTAAGAAGGCACTCAGTTGTTTACAATGGCGGAACAGGCGAGTTGACACAACTAATCTAGATGAAGTTGCATCAGCTATGGGAACAAAGACAAAGCTTGTGTGGCTAGAAAGTCCTACAAATCCTCGTCAACAAATTTGTGACATCCGTGTGGGTTACAGTGGTTTTGAAGTTTCCATTGAAACAGTGTTTGTGTTCGCTTGGTTTATAAAAGAACCCCGCAAACAATTTTTTTATTTATTATAAAGCATTCTTTTTCACACTGATGGTTCTAGTCTCCATGCAAATGTAAAAATCAGAAAATTGCTGCTATGGCTCATGCACATGGGGCTCTCATGCTGGTAGATAACAGCATTATGTCTTCCGCACTCTGTTGTCCCTTGGAGCTTGGAGCAGGTGTTTTAGAGCTTTTCCATCTTTCTTTAATTTAAATAATATTCTTTATAGCTGAGTTCAACTGGAACTTTTTCTAATATTGAAACATCTTAATCCAGATATTGTGATGACTTCTGCAACTAAATTCATATCTGGTCATAGTGATCTTATGGCAGGTGTCCTTACTGTTAAAGGAGAAAGGTTTTCCCCCACTCCATTGAATACATTTGATTTTTCGGCTACTTCTGTGTTTATCTATCCCTGAGGTTATTTTACTGTTATTGATGTCACTCATGCAGACATTGAGAACCAGGTGCATTTTAATGCCCTTAGTTACCATATGATAGCTTTACGATGTTTTCCTATGAGTTAAGGACGATCCTGACCTATGTGGCTATACTATATTGTTATGATAAAAAGGAAGCATAACTTCGTTAATTTTGTCATTTCTGTGTAGCGAACAACAACCTCTCTAGATTTTTGTTGAGGAAAACCTCTCTAGATTTAGAGTGGAAAGTTGTGTTCATCGCGACCCCCATACCCCATTAGAGTTGGGGTAGTATTGTTGGTGTTGTATTGGGTTTATTGTTGATGATGTATCTATTTGGAAGCACCAAACTTGGGTGAAACATGAGACTAGAAACGATCAAAAGAAAATGACGAGAAACCAGTTTGCTGATATTTTCCTATTAATGTGCTTTGCTTCTCACAGAAGAGAAAACAAGCTTGTACCTTGATTGAGTATGAACTTATTATTCTTCTGGACGAGTATGTATATTTTCTGAAGTATTTTGTGTGAACTAGGGATGACATAAGTGTGATTCCTTTTAACCAGATTGGCCAAGGACTTGTATTTACTTCAAAATGCAGAAGGTGCAGGCTTAGCCCCATTTGACTGTTGGCTCTGTTTAAGAGGGATCAAAACTATGGCTCTGCGTGTTGAGAAGCAACAGGTTAGTTCCCACATTTATGCTTCAATGAAAATGAAAACTGATTCTTTTTTATAAAAATTAAAATCATATACATAGATTAGATTTCTTACATATTACTCCCTCTGTCCCAAAATAATCTTCTTTCCTTTTTTCGTCCATACCAAAATTATCTTAACTTAAAAAAAAGAGTGTGTTTCTAAAAAAGTTTCTCTCTTCTCATCAATTTCTAACCATTCATTTTTTCACTTTTCAACACTTTTCTTAAACTCCGTGAAAGTCAAATGCAGAAGATTAGTTTTGAGACAGAGGGAATATTATATTAGAGCTGAATAAAATAGATGAGTTTGGATATAAATATCTAATATATGCTCATTGTGTTTGAGTCTATCTATTTTCTTCAAGATCCCTCTCCCTCCCATTTTATTCTCTATTTTCGTTGATATTCTTCCCTTGAATGTTCTCCAAATTCCAAACGGACACTTAAAACTTTCTAACTCAGTCTTAGTGTCATACAATCTTGGCAGGATAATGCACAAAAGATTGCCGAATTTCTCACTTTGCATCCACGGGTGAAGAAGGTCAACTATGCCGGTCTTCCAGACCACCCGGGGCGGTCATTGCACTATTCTCAGGTAATGGCTGTAACACGTTTTAGGAGATGCACGCCCGTAATGCAACATTTTAGTAGTTTTCAAAAATTCACATACATTATCATAGCACAATCATTTTATGTCTCACAATGGTGCAGGCAAAAGGTGCAGGGTCAGTGCTCAGTTTTTTGACAGGGTCTTTGGCACTGTCTAAGCATGTAGTCGAGACCACAAAGTACTTCAGTGTTACCGTCAGTTTCGGTAATTGCCAACTCTATTACTTATTTCACCTCCTAATATACACGGAGCGAATCAGATAGGGGAGTAGCATAAGGCATTATATATGCGTATGTGTTTTAAGATTTGGCTTATGTTAGATTGCTTAACATGGGGAGTAGCATGGGAAGCAGACTAATTTTGAAAGCTTACGTTCTGGCGAATTCTTAGGTGGCCCTAATAATGTCCACCTAAAAACTTAGAGACAATAGCTACATAAACATATTTCTAATGTTACTTTAAGCATTTATAATTTATTATTTATTAATTTGCTTATGTGTGAAGGGTATTTCATTATTGTATGAACCTAAGGTCTGCTGCGTAGAAGCACTCTATGTCGATGCTAACGAACTATCCTATTTTGGAAATTCTTGCAGGAAGCGTGAAGTCACTGATAAGCTTGCCGTGTTTTATGTCCCATGCAAGCATAGCGGCTGAGGTGCGAGAGGCTAGAGGGCTTACTGAGGATCTTGTTCGTGTGTCTGTTGGAATTGAAGATGTTGATGATCTGATTGCTGACTTAGACTATGCACTTAGCACTGCCCCACTCTAGACACACACACACACACAGATATATGTGTGTGTGTGCGCGTTTTAGTCTAAAAATTATGTACCCCATAAAATATTGGCATCCATGATTTAAGAAACATAGCATTGTCTTTTACGAACTTGGAGATTGTAGGGATTTAGCATTCATCGAGCTATTTTCTTTTCCTTCCAAAAACAGTTCCTTTGATGATATAGATTCTTTATAGCTGAGTTCAAGTGGAACTTCTTCTAACATTTAAACCTCTTAATCCAGATATTGTGATGACTTCTATCACTAAATTCATATTTGGTCATAGTGATCTTATGGAAGGTGTCCTTACTGTTAACAGACAACGGTTTATCCACACTCTTTCCTCGACGACACTTGATTTATGTCTATTTATCTATGATGTTATTTCTGGAAGTGTGGAACTTTGAATCCTTTTGTTCCTAATTTGTATCTCTTGATTCATGCTATGCTCATACATTCATAATTCATATTTTGTTGATTTGTTAATTGCTAGGGATGGCTTGTGTCTAACTCTTAAATTCAGGGTTATGCTTGAGTTCAATATTCATGCTTGAATCCTTTTAATGTATAATTATTTTTTTACCTTACTCAGATCAGTCCTATCTTCGCTTGCTTCATGATTGAAGGTGTGGCTTTACACCTTTGGTCAATTTTATTGTGCCAAAGTCTGATTTAATTTACAGTTCATTATTTTATCATTTTTTCTTATGATGTATCAATATTTCTTGCGAAGAAAATAATAGTAGTAGAGTGTTCAATTTAGTGCTGTATCATAAACTCTTTTTTCTAACCTTCATAATTTAAATTTTTATAAAAATATTTAGCCGTGCATGGCAGGAGTATGAATTTAGTACCAAGTAATAAAGGAAAAATATCAATTGATGAACATGCTTCAAGGGGGGAGCCATAGAGGAGAGGCAGAGTGTGGTTGCATCAGAGATGTTGAAGAGGCATTGTGGTCTAGGTCACATAATGCGAATTCGAGTGCAGGAGCAAGAGCGGGAGCGAGAGCGCAAATGCGTCAAAATTGAAGAAAATGTGAGTGCGGGTACGGCTTAGTTCGTATTTTTTAAACACATGTTATGTCTAGTTTTCATATCCTCCCTATTTTCAATAACAAGAATGGTGTCACACTCAAAATCATGGTAATCTCTCTCCCGTAATATACGGAGTCTTACAATTTGGATTTACAAAGCAAAATCTTGTATTTTTTTAAATCATTTTATTTAATTACAATAACAACAACAACCCAGTTAAATCCCAGAAGAGTAGGGTCTGGGGAGGGTGTGTGTACGCAGACCTTACCCCTACTCGAAAGTAGAGAGGCTGTTTCTAAAGAGACCCCTGGCTCAACGTCGAAAGTTGCATTGCTTGACTAACTGCTACTTCATTAATTAAAGAAGCGCAGACAGGTTAGAGATCCATTTTGATTTATTCCATCACACCCCAAAGCCAAAAAATGGTGAAATTTTGGCTCCATCAGAGATGATGGAAATAAATCATTTTATTTAATTATGTATAAAAATAATAAAATGAATTTATATAATCCCTCCTTCCCAATTTAAATAGTTTGTTTTGGTTCATGGTGTTTGACTGAACTTATTTTCAAGCCATTTTATATGAAAACGATGTAGAATTAAAAAATAAAAATTTCACATTTAAAAATTACATATTTTAAAATTACATCAAAAAATCCTATAAAACTTGTGGTGACATTACTATAATTTTATCAAATGACTAACGAAAATAAAGAAAAAAGTGAATGAAATTTGACTATGTCAATAGTAAAGATGCAATTTAATTTGGGACCAAGGGAGCATTACTCTATAAAAAACTTTGTCAAAAATTTTACAAAACTTACGGCAACATTAATATTTTATTTCATTAAATAATCATTGAAAATAAAAAGGAATTAAACAAAAAGCTATCAAGAAATGAATAAAAATTTGTACTCCGCAATCAATTATGAAACGGAGGGAATGTTATACTACTATAATACTACTCCGGGGTAATATAATAATGCCAAATACGAAATACTCGATTCCATAAAAAAAGAACAAAATGTAAGTTCGTGGGGGTGCAACGGAAATCACCAATTAAAAGCTACGCAAACAGATCAAACAACTATGTTGTAGAGAAGACACTGCAACACTGTCACACTAACAGATGACAGACAAAGTGTTATAATATCTTCTCTGTCACAAGCACACATGCAAAATACAAAGTAAAAGAAGTAAACAGTATACAAGAATTGTTTACGCAGTTCGGAGCAACTCTCCTACGTCTGTGGGGCACACGTCCGTGTGACAACCCTTCCACTAAATCACCGTAAAAATTACACAACCAATCACAAGAGAACCTTCGAATGTATTGATTTGTCTACTTATGAATAACTTGACGACAAACTCTGTTTGCCCACGGCTTGTTATACCTTCTCAAAGATCTTCTTCAAGCACGTAGATTCCAGTAACTCTGTTCGCGACAACTTTTGTTTTTTCGTATTTTTGCACTCCAAAACCATGAGGGAGGGAGAAGATAATATATGGAACATAATAACCCTGTTAGAGTGTACTTAGGAGTCTCAACCATGACTTTCTCCTCAAGAATAGTATACCAAGTAGGTAAATCTATTCGTTTGTCAAAAAATAATATCAACACAATATGGAACTAACACATAAAAGATCATGTTGGATCCAAGCGGCCAAGCCCATACAAATGAAAACAGGCTAACGGTTGGAACTCCACGTTCACTGAACTAGTATTTCAATATGCTAAAGCATGAATTGGTATAAAATTGATGCAACGTCATGCGGTGCCCGCGTCTTCAATGCATCAATTTACGTTTCAACCACATGTTCTCCATCCGAGAAGAGCAAGCTATGTTACCTAGGTTGTGGTCCTCGGTGGGGCATCATTGACGAGAAGGATTTATTTCGAAGTTAGATAGGGCGAGGAGGTCATGACTAGGAAATACTCTGTATTACGGTTGAGGCAGTGTGGTGGATTGTTTCATTTCGATTTTATTAAGAAAGTCTAAAGAAAAAATTATGGCGTAGGAGGCGACTAGGAAAAAAGTGTGGCATAGTGATTAGGCAAAAGGAGCTAGCCAGAGAAGCTAATTAGCTTCCTAAATCAATAGAGTCACTATTTACATGGAAGAAACTTTTTACAAGGATGAATTGATTAAAAAAATATATTTTAGAGATGGAAAACAAATTTCACTTTTTTTAATAGAGAATAAAAACTTAGTTAACCCTATTTTTTTATTACAACCATCCTAATATGTAAATGAATATTATCAACTCCATATTATTATACACAATTTCCGGTACGCTGAATAAATGTCTACCCACGGCTGTGGATAAGAATATAAGAGAAAAAAAATACTTCATTTTGGACCCCACAAATACTATGACATCCTCGCTTTTGGTCAGTAACTTTCATTTTTCCACTTCGGTGTACAACTATTGATTCTTGCCACAAGCCATGTTAGAAAAACCTCACATTTGACACCACAGTGTCGTCTCACAGACACACAAGATAGTTTTTGCATAGACAATTATTGTCTGTGTGTGTGAGATACCATGGTGTCAAAGTGGGAATCTCCTAGCTTTTTTGTTCTAGCCGCTCTTGGTCCTTTCTGGTCACTTTCCAGCAAACCTGAAATTGTACGAAAAATTGGCCGGAGGAGCCAAAAGGGACAAGAAATCTATAGTCATGCACCCAAAGTACAAAAATGTAAGTGAAGAGAAGAGGGAATGGCTGGCCTAATAGTCAAGGGACCAAAACGAAATATTTTCTATTGTACAACAATACAGATTTTTGCCTAACTAAGAAAATGGAACCATGATAATCAAATGCAGGAACGTAATGTGTGAAGCAGCAACATGTTTATACCAATGATAAAAGTTTCCTCTACAAATTGCAGGTGGAAATTTTACTCAACCAAAACAAGAAAGATAGAATGGATAATAGTAACTGACATGAAATAAACTTCAGAAAGGCTACAGCTCACTGTAATTGCGCCAGACTGTTCGGAATTCTTCACGAAATGTGTTTAAACGAGCCTTCACGTTGGGTGTTCGGAAGCTTGCATGAGCAATTGTGGCTGGGGAGATCCAGATGGAGAGTTACATTAGATGGATACTAAAGTGGGAACAATGTGCTAATACACAGAAAGCTGTTATAATTACCGAGAAGGCCAATAGCTAGTGACCATGAAACCATTAGAAGCCCACAGGAGACAAACCAAAGCAGCAAACTCACTGAAGAAGGATGCCAGCATGTATGAGACAACACCATCCACTCACGAAGATAAATAAAAGTGATCCCAAGGAGTTAGGTAAAACAGACTGATGATGCCTACCTGTAGAGAATACCAAAACAAACACCCATCGGGGTCGTCCACATATATATATTGCTCGCTTTGCTGATGGGCGCCCTCGAATAACAGGTCTAAAGAATATGAGACAGTTAGGTGCCTAACAATATAATATGTTCTACAATTTCCCAATCAAAGAAAAACTTACGTAAGGGGAGGCCTCATTTTAGCGGCCAAATGAGGAGAAAACTGCCTGACAGTTCTCGTCACCTTTTCATTAAAAGTACCTGCAAAGCTGTTAGGGTAGTCATTATCAGAATGACAGAACAGTCTTGCAAAGTACTACTCTTAGTTTCAAAAGGAGAGATGCGCAACTAGGCAATTTGGGTTCCTAACGCACAAAGTGGAGGTGTTCGCAGTGTGCTTCAGAGAATTGAGATGCGCCTCTCTGATTGATAAATCATAAAATGCATTTATATTGCTTGAACATGCCAGCTTATAATCGAACACAATAATGTTCGTGGGAATCACTTTGAAACCCATCATTGAAAAATCAAAGTATACACACATTAGCAGTAACAAAAAAAACAGCAAGAAAACTGAAAGAGAAGCAGCACCAGTAACAAAAAACAGTAAGAAAACTGATAGAGAAGCAGTAATATCACATAAACAGCAGTAGCTATTAGCAACTAGATAGGAGAATAAATAATTATCAGCAGCCCATTACAGAATTACTCACACCGAAAGAGAAAGGTTGTGGGGGATGACAAAGATGAGAAGAAAGAAGAGGAAGAGTCAAGGAGAAGGAAGAAAGAGTAAGATAAGAAGGGATAGAAGAAGGAGAAAAGCAAGATGGAGAATGAAGGAAAAAAGGAGAAGATGTTGTGAAGCTGAGAAAATTGAGTAAATGAGATTGCCTAAAGGTTTTCTGATACAAGATAGGAGGTCAACTTTGACTTGTTAGGCAGCTCATTCTGGAGAATGTTCTAGAGAAGCCAACAAGCACTGGAGGCGCTGCACCTAATGCTTGGGAAACGGCAGCTAACTCTTTGCGCCTGCAGTGATTGGATTTGCGATTGAAACAGTAATAAGAATGGAGCATGACCATGCCTTGCAACGAGACACGTGTGTTTAAACTAAGATAACTCTACATCCTCAACTTCACTATTCATTTAAAAAACAGTGCAGCTTCACATAGAACAAATAGTTCTGCTACACATTCAACTGATTCAAGTAATCTACCCAGGCGCCCGCTCCAACAGCCAATAAGCAAAAGTTTGTTGACTTTAACTTATTCAATGAAATCAATTGCTGATCAAGAATTAGAATACATTTTTAAAAACCTCGATGTATGGCCTAAATATACTAACAAAACAATTCCTCTTCGAAAACAGAAACAGAGTACATCATATGGCATACTTGAGCTTAAAAATTGTGAACAAAATATAAGTGTGCCCTTGGCAATTTAGCATTAAAATACCTGTCATTCAGAAAAGCAATGCTTAGAGCTGTCAAAAGTGCAGCAACAATAGCGAGTGGCCTCCTAAGAAATCCCATTCCTGCAACGTCAAATAGACACACACACACACACACAACAAAGCATTAAACTACGGAGTATTAAACACTCTGTAGATGAAACATAAGAACACCCAATAAATGGAAATAAAAAGATAGCAAACTAAATGACTGAGAAATTTAGGTTATCTCACGGACTTACCAAGAATGAAAACAATCATCAGGAAATAATTTGTCCGGTAGCTGTCATGAGGAAAAATGAAGCATTAATGGGTATAAAACTGAAAACAATGCACCAGTAAGATCATTTTTCTAAATTTCTCCAATTAAAACAAACTCTTGCATACTGAAGTAGTAGTTTACAAAGGGAACACCTACACCCTCAATACTTCCTTCAACCTTTCTAATTTTCTTTCATTCCTCTAAGACATGGGTAATCCTCTACTTGTCCATTACTTGAACCCCAACATTTTGGATGGGGAATAGAGATGCAAGCAGATTAAAATGTTGGCAGGTGGGGGTTCACCCCTGTCAGGGAGGAATAATAGGAAAATTAAAGGAGGTGATGAGGTGTAGAATATGTAGCTGTTTGTAACTTCCCATCGCCTACAGTTAAGCAATGTTCTTTTGGGTTCGAAAAATTAACTTCCAACTTCCAGTACCTTCCAACAACTTAAAAAAAGTATTTATATATGATGAATAAACAATAACATTATATATCCAAATTTATAACATACTACCTCAAGTACGGACATTGATGAATTCTTTTTTATCCAAAATTAGAGTTTTCTTACATATTTGTTTGGGTGATAATGTAATTGAGTGACTTTTTAACACTTAATTTATTCCAACATTTTCCAACTCTTTCCAATTTTTTCAACTCCTTTCAGTTTCTTCCAACTATTTTCAGTTTTTTTCCAACATCTAAATCTGAAATTCCAACCCAAAAGAACATGGCTTAATTTGTATTGATTGGAAAACTCTCAATTTGAGGTGTACGAAAGATGAATTGAGATTAAATGATGTTTTAAATGTCATTGTTTCCTCTCTACCATAACTTTCTACTCGGTCCTCAACCCTTGCTTCTAGGTCTGCATTAGTTTCTTCATGTAAGATAACTACTTACCATTTCCTTCCTCACTTTATTCTCCCCGAAAATAATTATGAGGAGACTACATACACCCCCCCCCCCTTCCATTACTTATATTTCCATTAATTACAGCACTACACCCCATCCGAATAGATTATAACACTCATACGTGAGCATATGGAATCAATTTAGACCAAAACAATCAAGCCCATTCACTGATTTCACAAACAACCCCACATCACCAAAATGAATGTTAATCAATATCACATAGTGCGATGTTACGCTCCAATTTCTCACGGACACGAAGAACTTACTAGTAGAGATTGCACTTGAGGCGGCTGTTCCATTTCGCATAAGAGCGGGGGAAAGTGAATCGGGAGAAGAACTCCGAGATGGGACGCGGTGGAGACGACCAGTCAACCTCCCGGAGCGCCTCGATCAGATCATCCGTAGTCACGTTGCCCCAATCCATACCTCCGATCGAAAACGTGAAACCCTAGAAAAATATTTGTAGCGCACAGGAGCGAGGAAGACGGAATCAAAGTACAAAATGAAAACAAAAGCCAATCAAGATTTGAGTGCGAGGAGAGGATTTGGGAATCCGATCGAGCTTGGAAAAGAATATATTTGAGCACCTCCGTAATGACTGAATAATACGGAGTAGTTGTATTTCTATGAAAGTTTGAACAACTTACATCAAAGGAGAAGATGAGACGTACAAATTAAGTTACAAATGTAAAATCACCATCAATATCAATATGTAAAATATACTCCACTGTGGTAAATGATACAAATTACGCTAAATAAGCCTAAAACATAGAGAAAAGTATCAAAATAGACTTTCATATTTTTTTTCTGAAATAGTACTTCACACTGTGGTAATGTGGTTGTAATGTGACACTGTACATGTCCACATTACTATACTTTTGGTAATGTACATGATCATGTTTGGCAATTTAAATGCATTTTAAGTCCTATTTCGGGAATAAATACACGAAAATCTTATTTTGGTATATTTTCAATGTTTTAGTGTTACTTCGGTCTTTCTTCCTATAAATAATCCTAAGTAAGAGTTCCATAGTTTTATTCTTTATATTGGAGTATATGAGTTAGCACTGTGGTAATGTGGCACTATAGATGTGCAATTTAATATACTTTTTGGTAGTGTACATTTTAACTCTTATTTTAAAAATAAAAACATGGAATTCTTATTTTAGTATATTTTCATTGTTTTACTCCTACTTTAGTCTTTTTCCCATATATAATTTGCACTAACTAGTACTAAAATAGAGTATATATCTTTTTCCGATGTAGTACCTAAAACTTTTTATTTCATAAATAGTACTAGAACAATGTCCAATAGCAAGAACAATGTCCAGTGGCAGTGAACATTTACTTGAAAAATGTCCTGTAGATATTGAACACTGGTACAACATTAAGAAATTAAAATATATGATATTCGTTTTTGTACTATATAGGTAAATTCGTTTATCAATATTTAGAAGATAAATGACGAATTAGAAGTGTCTAAAAGGTGGCAAGAGATACAAATATGGAGAATCGTTTGTTTCGTCACATATTTTTATTTTTATTTTCTTATTTAGCAAGAAAAATACTCTTTTCGTTCTAAAGTATTTGTCCAACTTAAATTTTTGTAGTTAACCAAAATAAATCTTTAACTTATAGTTAGATAAAAATTATATCTAATATTAATGAATAAAAAGATATTTTCAAAATACTCTACAAGCTACATCTAATAAATTGCTCTTGGATACAAATCTATAATAAATTGGTATTTAATTGAGAGTCAAAATTTATCAATTTTGAATGCAAAAAGTCAAAACTGAATAAATACTCTGAGCAAAAAGTCGAAACTGAACAAACTAATTTGTCCTCCTCTTTTCTTTTTGTGCGCTACTTTCCCGACCTAATCGCCTATCTTTGACTCGGTTTCACCGTCAAATCTCACAAAGCTTCGTCATCTCCATACTCGGCGAATTCTACATTTTATATTTTTACTCTACCAAAATTTCTAATTAAATTGAATTAAAAATATATTAAATCAAACATCGTAAATAAAAAATAATTTGATTTGAGATGAAAGGAGTATAAAAGATTTTAGGCACATGTCCAAATAATGACATGGTTGTTTCTACATGTCTATGCAAAGAGTACCAACATTGTTGTTTGCCTAGACCTAGCAAAACTAATCTCAACTGGATCCAATGATCCAAAATACTACACAATTAACTAATTAAGTCGATGTTGACTAGAAACTCAAACAAAATCAATATGTAATTGAACTGGTGAGAAAACTAATTTACTCGATTCCAATCCAAATCGAAGTGACTCAATCTCAAACTCAAATTGATCCAAAACTCAATTAACCCATCCAAGCCAAATATATATGAAACTAATTTTATCCCTAACCAGTATACCCGAACAAAAATGACTCAAACTTGAACTAACCGAATGTAAGTTTGACATGAGTTGAGTCTTAGCCAACAAGATTAAAAATACAAATACATTTACATTTTTTGACTTTTCGTAATTATAATTTTAAATGTAGGATATTAAGTTATTAGTTAATGAATCAATGTAATTTGTAGTTGAAATTGAAAATTAAAAATGATTACAAAGTATACAAAAATGATAATCAAGAGGTTAAGAGACTTTATTTAATGTATAGCTCGAGTGTCAAGATGAATCATACAAAGTACGTAGTATTAACATATGATTATTCAATTACTCCTTAAAATAACAATCAAAACATGTTTGAGTTAATTTACCTGTGTTTTAAAACTAAGCCTTGATGAAAAATGAATTGACATTCTTGAATCTTTTTGATAAAACCAAAAACATATTTAAAATTTGTTCTCTCAATTGCATTCTCTTAGCAGTTGGATTGAAATTAATGATTTATCAAATTTCGACCTCCATTCACATAATCAAATCTCAAAAGACCAGATTGAAAATCTAAATCAATTAAATCTTGTGACATGCACTTTTTATCTTGTGGGATGAAAATTTAATCTAACAAGACATTTATCCAACTCAATGAAATTTGACCCAGTTTTCCATCATCTTTGATGAAGCCAAAATTTCACCATTTTTTGGCTTTGGGGTGTGAATGTGTGATGGAATAAATCAAAATGGGTCTCTAAACTGACTGCGCTTCTTTAATTAATGAAGTAGCAGTTAGTCAAGCAATGCAACTTTCAACGTTGAGTCGGGGGTCTTTTTGGAAACAACCTCTCTACTTTCGAGTAGGGGTAAGGTCTGCGTACACACACCTTCCCCAGACCCTACCTTGTGGGATTTAACTGGGTTGTTGTTGTTGTTGTAATGAAATTTGACCCAGCCCTACTTTTAATCGATCGGAAGTTGACCTAAAGTCTTAACTGAAACCTACAATGCTAACATACTCTTAAGAGAATATTTTTGACAATTTATAATTAATTCGGAATACCTTAAAAAAGTGAATCGGAGTACTTAAATAGGAGTACTCTACTACTAGTAACTTAGTTACATCCTCACTGCCTTACAGGTAGCAATAAGGTCGACTCACACACGTCCCGCACTTGTGGGATTTCACTGAATTGTTGTAATTTGGTTACGGCCGTGTGTGTGAGCATTCCAACAATAATATTCAGGCAATACATTGGCAGACATGTATGGTGAAACGCAGCCTTGAACCTGAAGAACCCCCAATTAACACAGGAATTAGCTTCTTCTTTTTTTTTTTTTTGCATTATTAAAGGGGGTTTGATTTTGATTTCTGGGTGGGGTTTCTTTTAGACCATATTTTTCTCAGGGCAAGATGCAGAATGCTAGAAATGAAATCAAAATCAAAAGAAGAGCAAAGACTGGCTAGAATGTGAAGAAATTGGTAACAAGATTGCAAACTCACTTGCAGTAAAGATGTGGGCAATTCAATGAAACCTTGCAGCAAAAGGTCGACCTTCTCCAGACTGTCTAACGGCACAGGAGTAATTATATAGAGAACCCGTTTCAAGGTGTCAATGCTTCTCACAATTCCTGATTCATTTTCAAGGAAAGAACAAATCAAATCGTGTTTATTAAAACATGCCACATATGCTGCATATAAAAATACTCCATCCATCCCTAAATTAAAGTATAGTTTGACTTCACAGCGATAAAGAAAACTGCTAAAAAAAATTGTGATTGAAATTTGATTAGATGGGAGAAATGTTGTTAACCTCATTTTTAAAAAATGAAATGAGAGAAATGCGAAGTTTAATTTTGAGGCGGACAAAAAAGAAAAATCTAAATTTAATTTGGAAATATATAGACTACTCTTCCTATGATGTTAACCATTTAGGATAGGAATTCAAACATTAATATTAGACCTGGCAAAACAGATCCGGAACCGATTACCCGAACCGAAATTTCCGAAACCGAAACCGGAATGACCCGAAAAATGAGGATCCGATCTATAACCGAAAACCCGAAATGATCCGAATCGAACCGAAACCGAACTAAATAATTCATATCCAATTTATATCCGAAACCGATAATATCCGAAACCGATAATATCTTAACCGATTAAACCCGAAACCGATTAGATTCGAACCCGATAATACCCGAAACCGATAAAATCCGAAACCGATTAGATCTGAAACCGATAATATCCGAACCCGATTAGAACTAAAATCGATAAATTCAGAACTATGTTTGCCTTTCAATAAACATATTATATTTTTAAATTTTTACTTTTATTTTTTCATTTGAACTAATTACACTACTTGCTCATTCCCTCAGAAAATTGATTATCTTCTTGAAAAAAGTACAAAATTTTATGCCTTAAATTTGTTATATGTAGAAATTAAAGATAAGCTATACATATAAATGATAACGCACAAACAAATAAAATTTTCGTAATTTTTAAATAGTGAAGTGTGATATTCTTTTTTGAACGAAAGGAATATATGATGAATTGTATGGAATAACTAGATTTTATCCTAGCTAATTTCATCTCATTACAATAAATTTTATTGATCTGAGAGTTAATTTGATTAGTTTCAAACCAATTCACTCAATATTAGTCAATAAATTTAGATGCTAGTTTTAGCATTTTGAAAAGACTCTCTAGCGGCAGTCTTTGTTGTTATCATTTTCAAATTTGATCTACACCATTACATTTAGGTGTAAAATTAATTATATTTGACTCTATTAAATTTAATTTTCTCTATTTTCAACCAAATATACTCAATAATTTACAAATTTTGCACTCAATTGAATAAAATTCACTCAATTTCACTCAATTTTTACCACATTGTATTCAAATGGAACATAAGACTATTTGAATTTATCTTTTATCCTTTCATTTATGTACATAAGTATATTACGGAGTAGTACATGTGAGAAAAATTTGATATTTCAAAGCTAAATTTTAAAATCAATTTAATTATATTAAATTTATATCATAATTAAATATATATGTTTTCATAATTTGTAGTCCAAATTTGTAAAATATGACTAAAAAGTCAAAAAGGGAAGATTATTTAGGGTAGAAATAATATAACTAGAAAAAAATATAAAATAATATGAGGTATTGAATTGATGATAGCTTAATAAATGTGATAAAACATAAAAAGAAACACAAATAGTTAAATTTTAATTAGATAATAATATATATCCAAAATATATTTGATCCGAAACCGAAATATATCTGAACCGAACTAGAACCGAAATCGAAATATATCCGACTCAAATTGTATCCGAACCAAAATTTATCCGAACCTATTTATAACCGAACTGTATCTGAACCGACTCGAATCCGAACCAAACCGAAAAATGTATAGAACCGAAATCAAATCCGAACCGAAATTTAACTGATCCGAACCGAACCAAACCGATTATAACATATAACCGAAAGATATCCGAACCGAAAAAATCCAATCCGAAACCGATCCGGTTGATCCGATTGCCACCTCTAATTAATATGGTATCAAGAGCCTACTAATAAGCTTAAATGAGCAATTTGATCCTTCTAAGCTTCAACGACCTTACGCATTTCAAGATTGGTTTGCTCTAATAAGCCACCATCTTGCCATGGTATATTAAGTCATCCACATCGGTCAAATATAAAAATATGAACAATTATGTAAGCCATTTGACTTCTCTCCTATCTGGTTGAACCCTTAGGATGAAATCCCAAACTTAAAGAGTTGACCAGTTCCATATTAAACTAATTATCTGGCCCTAAAATTAACATTGAGATGCAATTATCTCACTGGAGTAGATATCCAACAGTATTTTCCGATGAAGTGTTTTATAACAATAGATCCATGAAATTCAAAGGGGGAAACCAATCAATATTAGCATAAGTTTTGCAGTAACATACCCAAACCAACACAATGAGGCATATCTTCAGTACCGTCACAGCTAACTGCCAATCCAACAATGGTTGCATTCAAGCTGTAGAAAACCTCGGCCTTGGGTACCTAACAATAGTATTTTACAACACCAATTCACCATAGGATCTTATATATCCAAATATCTCTCTAAATTACTCTAAACAATATGCAAAATACTTCACCAAATGATGAAATGTAATGAAAAATCTTTTCAACCCAAAAAGAATTATATACTTCCATTCAGCTTCCTCAATCAGTCATAGCAAAATACTCCCTCCATCCCAAAAATATCTTTACGTTTACTATTCACGTAGTGATACTATATCCTTTTTCTTAACCACCTATTATGATTGATCATTTGACAAAATATTGAAATAATATAATCTATGTCGCCTCTTCTTTTATAGATCGTTTGATGTAGTTTTTAAATAGTTAAATTTTATATTTTATTTCTACACCAATTTTGAAATAAATTAAATTGAAAATAACTTTAGCCAAGCATTCTAAACCGCAATGTCAAGTTCTTTTTGGAAGGAGGGAGTAGCAAGTTTCTTAGCAGTTGAACCAACCTGGCAGTGAAGATGCTTAATTTTGATACTTGATAGAGGAATCTCATAAGGAGGATGTGCAGCTAATGCATGAGCAAGTTCTTTAGGGTGTACAGGTAATGCCCCACTTGGAAAGCATTGCTTAAAATAGGCTATAATACGAAGGTCTCTCATAAACGGTGAATTCTTTTGCACCAGAATCCTAAAAACACAGTTGAAACATATCAGGAAAAATACATCCACAAAAAAGTTCTAATTCTTTTCCAGACTAAGTGTGGGTTCCTGCTGAAGCATATTCATGTGATCGTACAAATTACTTTAACAATCAACAAGAAATGATTTCCTAAAAATTATAGAACCAAATGCAATTTTAGATTAGAGTAGAGAATCAGCTTTTTAAACAGAAGACTACAGCGTGAAAGGCAAAGTCAAGCATACGCATTAAGTATTTAAGATTCAAAGCATCACATACGATGTTCCTGAAGGGTCTTGACGGGCTGAATTGATTTCAATTAGGTTTGTCAGTGAAGCTTCCCCCTCATCCAGCCAAAAAACCCCTCTTGGTAGATTCTTGTTCTTAGCAGATATGCAAATGTTGACAACATGACTAGGGGAAGTATATTTCAAGATTTCCACAAGTATCTCATAGCCGATCCCTGAAATGCAACAAATACAATTACAATATTTTCATAATTTAATGATATATCAACTATCAAGCAAAATATTAACATTAAATAATGAACTCAAACATTATTTTAAAAATAAAAAAAACAGAATACACAAAAGCAAACCTTTTACCCAGCCAGGGGTATTGATAACCATGGGCATATCAGCATTAGCAAGGCATCCACTATTATTAACCATGCAGTACTTTTTCTTATAATGATCATTCAAAGAAAATATATATGACAAGTAGAGTTTTGAGTCCCTTTTGCATGAAGTATCCCCAAAGAAAAAGCATCTGAAAGGGGAAATTGATAGGGAAATATTAGTAAGGAAAGTTCTCAAAATACTAGAAGATAAATTTGTTCTAGTTTGCATAAACAGTAGAAAGCACATGTTGATGTTCGAGACATCCACAACAAGCATCTTTCTACTGCTTGCTCCATACAAAAAGTCAAATGGATATTATACTACTTCACTAAAACAGATTTCACTGTATCACACTTAGGGCTATTTGGAAATGCCATCTCAAAAATAATTTTTCTTGATTTTTCCCTCCATAGACATTATGAATTTGAATTACAGTATATGTTATTAAAGCATGCCACTGAGTTTTGTGCATGTTTCAGAACCACTACATAATGCATTAGGCCATAAAGCAAACTAGATTTCAAAACTTGCAAGGATGTTTTATCTGTAATCACTTTTATAAAAAAGTATCATTGCAAAGTGTCATGTAACAATGACAAATATTGCCTTCCCTATCTGGATTTAATCGTCTGCTTCTATAAAGTTTGACAACTATTGGCATCAGTAAACAGGGTAGTGTAAGATTATACTCGTATGTCCCAACTCCCAATTTATCATGCATGTTTTCTGTTTGGGTCGTTACCATTTTATCATGGTTCTCCTCTAAAATACTGCAAACTCCGTGCCCAGTCAGAGTAGGGACAATAAAACGAGGCGGAGGGAGCAAAAAATCTCGGAGTGCATACCTCTCTGGTGTTTTAAGGCAGGGAACTTTGATATCTGAATAGAAAAAAGCAGACAATTAAAAAACTATAAAGTATCAGCACCTCATGTCATAAACAGGCAACAAATTTCAAAAAGAAAGCAACAAAATAAGCATCAATACAAATGCCTAAAGCATACCAGCAGGCATTTTGTCAACTATTGTGAGTGATAGGAAGCCGGGTGGCGTAAACTCTGCCTGCCCAACATCTGTATCCAAATAAGCCACTTTTCTGTACCTGAAATACCAAAAGCGCACTCTATTATCCATGTTTATACAATAAAACCTTCAATTCCACCAAACCTACCAGAATGTGACCATTAAGACCGATAAAATTTATGGAATGAAAAGTTAACTCATGATTTCAAAGGGTTCTATTTGAAAACGGGGAGAAATCTATTCACATCGATTAAGAAAAAACCTGTATCCATGCAAACCAGAGTTAATTACTTTTGCATTTTACATAGATGCTCCTTGGTGGAGCACAAAGAAGGTAAATTATTACTCGAATTCTATTGTAATGACTAGGACATGCAAAAAAAAGGAAAAGATACCTTCTGAGAAGAACATTGAGGAGGTGGCGGGAGAACGTTGTCTTGCCACAATTTTTGGGGCCGCATATGAGGGCCACTGGCGGAGAAGTGACAGATTCACAGGAAATGGCATTGGCGGCATTGCACCATTCACTGGGGATGAAAATCTCCGGCGATGGAGTATCATTCTCTGAAGCCGAATGCATCCCTTTCTCTAGCTACTTGACTACTCGGTATCTCTTTTTTTCAAATGCTTTAGGTTGCAAGGAATTTATGGCAATGGAAGAAAAAGTTCTTTAATTCTCAAACTACCTTGAATCCTCGAGTAACCTCTTCTCGATTAAATAAGAAAGAATAGACGCTGAAATAAAGAAATTAATAACGATATTATACATCCGAATGTGTGATACTTACTGCACATCCAATCTATCCACATTTACAAATTAGACAAAGCTCATTACCTGCATTAATTTTATCGCACATACTCAAAGCTTGCACGCATTATGAAATTGATGTATACACATTTGATAATTACACAATGCACATTTTGTTGCTAATACTTCAAATTTGTGAAAGTAAAAATGAAATCTTGAAAATGAAATTGCAGAAAAATATAGTATTTGAATTTAATTGGAACATATCTAACTTCCAAGGAGGATTTTGACGGATCGCTAATAACTTTGAACATTTATTTTAATAATTATTTCACTTAATTGGAACATTTTGAGTCTACAGAATATTTAATAAAAGAGTGATGCACATGGAAATCCCCTACTTTCAGTGAGCAATGACTCAAACATGTGATTTTTAATAGAAGTGTGATGCACATGGAAATCCATTATTTTCAGTGAGCAATAAATTGCACAAAATACTTACCTTTGAATATAGTAATTCTCTAAGATCACAAATAGCTTGCCTTTAGGTGAAAACCTTATTGAGAAAACTAAATACCTTTAAAGAAAAACAATACTTCTAAAACACATTTAGATGAAAATGTGGAAATTTTCATATTTTATACTCTGTAAATAGAAGAAAATATGGCATTTAGTTAAAAAGTGTCATATATTATTTCAGATATTAAGGTTGGGATACCCACGTGTTGAAGATATGTACATATGACATGTATATATCTTGACATTGGATAAAAATCTAAAATTTTCTTAACTCGAGACCAACTTCAAAAAATCCAAATTTTGTGTTTTACATATTGTTTCACATCCAAGATAGATTCGGAACGGGCAACTACTTTTGATGATATGGTTGAAAACGAAGGCGCATTTGAATTCAAATCAGAAACACTTTGATTAGATTCAAGATTCTTAAACTTTGGTTGTTTTTTGAAATATCAATGTATCCTAAATTACAATAAATCATTTACCCAATGTATCAAAAACTATTGTTGTATTTGAATCAAATAATTATAAATGAAGAAATATGTTTAAAAACAACTAGCCAGAGAGAATTACGAATCAATAAAGAGAACTATTAATCACAATTGAAAACTATCAACATAAGCGTGTACTCTTTTTTAAAAAAACGTAGTACTAAATAATCAACTATCGAGAATCAATTGTGAAATTTAATCTACTATGAACCATCACCAACTAAGAAGTTCTTCATAGACCTAAAGTCCAGAAGATCCACCTGGACCTTCTCATTTGTGGGTGACAGGGAGACTAGTGGACAACCATGCCACGACGAGTCGAGTTGGTGACAGGGAGACTAGTGGACTAGGCGACTAGTCGTAGACTAGGCGACAAATCACAATTAGTATTAAAATTTTTAACATTATACTCCCTCCGTTCCACAAAACCCTTCCTCTTTCGATTTTTTTGCTTTCCACAAAACACTTCCACTTTCCATTAAAAAATCACTTTTACCCCTACTTTTTTATACCCTACCTATCACATCATACTTTTTCACTAATAACCAAACTATCACATCTTACTTTTTCCCATCACATCAGGGGCAAAATTGGAAAGTCAACCAAAATTTCACTCTCCTTATTTTTCCCCAAAGTCAAAACCGGAAGGGTTTTGTGGAACGGAGGGAGTATATATCTATCTATATTAATATTAACCCAACATGAATATATGTGTGTGTGTGTGTGTGTGGGTGTGTGTGTGTCAAAACACCATAACCAAAGCAAACTTATGTTTAAAGATAGCACATAAAGTCACTTAACAAAGAGTACATAACAAACAAATATCCTTCAATCTTTAAAAATAACACACCAAGAAAGATAATTAACCAAATAAGAAGTCAAAGGACATATTAAAATAGTTAATTCCATGTTTTGAGTTATCAAAAAAACTGAAATACTAAAATACTAGAATAAGAAAAAAATTAAAATATTAACTGAAATCAGAAAAAAAACTGAAATATTAAAAAAATAGAAGAAAACTGAAAATTTTAAAGTATATTATACTTTATAGTTTAATGAACCAAATCAATGAAAATTAAATCAAATAGAGTATACTTTAATGATAACAAAGTAAAAGAAATCTTACCCATGGAGGAGAGTCGCTGCTGGAGGCTGATGGAGGAGAATCGATGGAGGAGAGTCGCTGGCTGGAAGTCGCGGAAGTCACCCTGGAACGGGAAGCCTAGAGTCGCGAACCTCCAGACTGCCGATTGTGGATGGATTGCGTCGAAGACTCGAAGGAGGCAGTGTTTTACAAAAAAAAATTAAAAATTAATGAAATTTGGGTCGGATCGGGTCGGGTCAATTGAATTAGGTCAAAATCGGCCAATTTTTTTCACTGATTGGGCGTCGCCTAATCGTGGCTAAGCGTAGCTAAGCGCGCTTAATAGCCTAGTCGGCCATAGGCGCTAGTAGTACAGAAAATCTCCATGGCAAAACCGCCCGGACGACTAGTCGGCCTAGGCGACGACTTGACAACCATGCCACAAATTTTTATTTATTTACTTATTTATTTTAATTATTTTAAAAATGTTTAGCTTAGAAGTTAGTATGCTCATTTGGCTTATATCTAGCTTATATGAAGGTCCACCATGACCTTAAACATTATTACTTTACTAAATACAGAATCAATTATGAAAATTGAAAAGCCAAAAATTGGAAATAAAACTCTGAAAATACAAATGAAATACACATTTTACATGATACGGAGTACATTTTACACAACTAAACATATACAATATAAATAAAAAATATGCAGTATCAAATATGGAGTACACAGTAAATCAGAACATCAAATGCAAACTAAAAAAATCAATTCAAAATTGACGTTGATTACTTACCTCGTTGGATGAGATTTCCGGTGAACTGAAGACTCCTGGAACAGTGCTGGCGCGGTGGCCAGACAAGTCGGCGTGGCCCCTGAGAAGTGGAGGCGCGCGACGGCTAATCTTCACTCTCTGCGAGGCTGCTTTTTTGAGTATATTAATCTCTCCTCAATTATTTTTTTTGGAAAAATTATGTGCAATAATCATTTTTATGCGGTCTTTTAAAAATAATTTTACCTTTTAATGTTCACCAAGGTTCTCATGACATTGCCCGTTCGTAAAATTGACGGTTCCTACCCCCCTAACCCCTTAGTAACCCCCACCCCGCCCAGACCCAAACACACACCCCACCCCCTTCAATTGCACCCCACAAGTTGATTTTGACTTTAAAATCAAATTTTGACTCTAAAGTCAAAATTAACTTGGAGGGTGCAATTGAAGGGGGTGGGGGGTGTGTTTGGGTCGGGGCGGGGTGGGAGGTTTGCCGGGGGATCAGGGGGTAGGAACCGTCAATTTTACGAACGGGGCACCGGAGCACCCCCGGGTCATCCCATGACATTGGTTCTCAATGTCATCGAAACCAGCCTCTTTAATGTTACACGTGATAATTCGATTTTTTCACATGTCTGCATTTTAGGTTGCCGTTAGACAGGCAATAATGGTGTAGTTGTTCTTTCATGTTGTAAGGTCCACATGGTGAATGTGGCTTTCTCACACTTTTCATGTGGTGACAAGTGAATTTTTTTTAAGACTCAATTTTTTATGATATCAATACACTAAAGTCCATAAAATGAAAATAGACTTTAACACTATGTAAGAATTTGCCACAATGATATGATGGTTTTTCTAAAAAAAAGACTAATTCAACACAAAGATATAAAGTTAAGATTATTTCATGTAATTTTTTTAAATTTTTTAACTTTAAAATATATTTCTAAAAATATTAAAGAGCGTTGTTTTGAAGATTTTTGTCAATCTTTTTAAAATATATCAGCTCACAACTTTTTTATAGTGTCATTTTAAGAAATAGAGTAACGATCGAAAAGATAATTTGTAATAACATTTTGCGAAAATATTTTACAGTGTGCCGTCAAAAAAGTTATTTAGTTTTGTTTCAAAGAAAAGATTGTAGTGCAACATAATATAGTGCACTTGTTTACTTAAATTGCAAAAATGTTTGGAAAAATTCACATCATTACTCCCAAAATTACATAATTTTATATAAATACTTCGAGATTTAATAAATGACATCCATGCTCTCAGAATTTTTGTATCTTTACATCAGTACTCCAACATTGAAATACGTTTACATCGGTGCCCCAACATTTAGAGCATTGATATAAACATAAATGAATTCTAAGAGTAGCGATGTAAATATATGTAAATTTTGGGAGTATTGATGTCATTAATTGAATTTCGGAGTATTTATATAAAATTGTGTAATTTTGGGAGTAATGATGTGAATTTTTCCAAAATGTTTTGAAAAATAAGTGTAACACAGCAATCTGTGTAACCCGAACAAACGAATTAGCGAATCAGATTGCCACTTATTGGTATCCACATGAGAGTAAATTTAAAACATGTTAAGTAAATCATCCGTTCATACTTTATAGTAATCTAAAACAAAAATCAATTGGAGTAACAAATCTAAACATTTGCAGAAGCCTTCAAAAAAACATTTCAAAACATTCTTGCAATTTAAGTAAACAAGTATAAAGAATTAAATAATTAAATTAATAAATACAGGCCATCTATGTTGCCAAACATCACTGACCCTTCGGCTGCTCATCCAGTCCTTGGTCCTACCTCTGTGTAGTCAAAGACTACACTCTAAGCTAAAAGCTGAGTGAGATATACTATTACAAATACAGGTTTCATTATTTCACGTTAAACGTATACAATTCTCGTGCTTCTAATAACTTTATAAAAACTGTGGATATGGGAAGTGTTTTAAGTCTTCAAGTAGCAGAGTTTTCTTTAGTCGCTGTCTAAAATTTAAAGTCTTTCCGTCATCACCAATTTCATTAACCCTAAATCTAAATTTTTGTGCTCCATGCATTCAACCAACAGAGACGATTAGAGAGGGAGAAGAGAGCATCGAGCACATCTGAAGGAGATGCACAACGAGATGTTATTTATTTGGTCTCTCTATCATTATTATTGTTTTCTGTCCATATACTGTTGTCGGAGTGCTCTCAATTTCCTCCATATACATGGTTTCCTTTACTCTCTCCTCAATGTTGTTACTTTTAATGTTCTAGTGTTGCTATTTCTAAGTCGATATCTAAGAATTATGAATGTCAAGAGGACTATTAGGTAAAGAAGTCTTCAAATCTGACTTAGGAAAGGCTAGCCTTTGGAGTTCTAGAATAGTACAGAGTAGTCAATATTGTTACAAATGATCGTACAGATTACAACAGACGGGGAAGATGAATAGTCCCGGAAGAAAGCTAAAAAAAAAAAATAATCCAAATTTATAATTTTATTCTGATTAATTACAATAAAAAAATAAAATTAGCTTCCGATCTTCAAAGACCTTTGTTAACAATAAGGACTTTGTGCACTAAAAAGAAGCAGCGAACTGGGACGTAGAACTCGGGAACAAAATCTACAAAATAGAACGTCGTAGAAGGGCAGCGGAGTCGCCCTGTCCTAAAGATAATAGTACCCGCCTACCGTATTGGAGATCGTGGGCACCTTCCTCCCAGGATAAAACCGCTATCGTGTGTGGTGATTGTAAGGACCTCACACCTACGAATGAGAACGTCGTCGAAGTATTATCGACCGGAAAAATGATCAGGACCGCCAAAAAAAATTGCCTGGAAAACTAGAACCCAAGTGAAAGATTCAACTTTCATTTTAAGAGTAAAGAGAAAAGTAAATACCCCCTCTAATTCTCACGTATGGTCTCTCCCTTCAAAGTGAGACCACCATTCACTTTAATAGGCTAGCATGACTTTTCATTTTTTATATCCTCCACCATTATCACCACTAATTAATTATAATAATTATCATCATTAGTGGTGTGTTAGTGGTGTGACATTAGTGGCGTGTTAATGAGAGATCATTAACACGTCCGTTACACTACGCTCCGTTCAAATTTGTCTCTAATAATTGAGGATTAATGGACAGTTAACTCCGTAAAAATAGATTAATTTTAAAAATTACGTAAAAGTAATAGAAGATTGGTTCAATAAAAATATGCATGTGCATGCATCAACCATACCCTTCTATTTTTAGCGGGTCAATTTTGAGAATCAATTTCTCATTCACCTTTTACCATTTTTGGCGTATAATATATCAAAATATTTATTTATCTCTTTTTAAGAGAACACATGTCCATTAATTAACGATTAAAACCGTAAGTGGACCTATTGATAATTATGTTCAAAGTTGGTACATTTAACGCCTATTAAAATACCAAAAATTCCAACAAATATCACTTGGTGTATAGTTGTGATTTTTTAGAGTGGGCTTTTGTTAAGATAGTGATAAGGAGAAATTCTTTTGGTGAGTTGTTGCAAGGCCGTGTTCCTAAGAAATTGAGAGTGATCTCTTTTTTTGAATGATACTTCTCCAAGGTTATTTTTGCACATTGCTTTGGAGGGTAGGAGTACGGTCATTTTTGGTTTGGTATCTATAAATTATAAGAATCTATTTCTTAATTGCTAGGATTTTCTAATATACTTTAATTTTCTATAAGCAGAATGAAGCTTTGATTCTTGCTACATGGTTCAGTTGGGACTTGAGCATCTGAACCTGCAGAAATCTTATTATTGTTGTTTATACGAAGTATGTGTTTTCTAGGATCATAGTCAAATTCGATGAGTTAATTTCAAAAAGATAAAATATAGCCACCTTTATTATTTCCAAGAGTTATGCCTAACTAAAAATTTAAAAGTGGTACCTCTGTGAAACATGATTGTTTTAATGGGTTAGAGGGAGTAGACAGTCAAAACTGTTAGATAGTATATATAACTGGGATTTTCTCTCATGCCTTTTAAATTCAAAGGGCATCCATGCCCTTCCATTGAATGACTGCCATGTGTAATTTGATGCACATAAGCTTCCTAAACATGCCTCACTTAAGTTTTAAAAGTTTGTAAAATGGCCCCATGTCACTTCCTTAATTCTTTTTCATTGCTTACGGGTAATTCAAAGCAAGTTATCTTTTTAATCTTTTTACTCTTTTAATTTAGAGGTTTTAATGATGAGTTTATTACATAATATTTCTTGTAGTTTAGTAAATATTTATTGTTAGTTTTTCATGATTTCAAAAATTGTACCATTTCACATCATGGTTATGTTATTCCGACGTTAATAACCCTTCCAAATTAAAAAACGCTTTCAAATATTAAGTGAATAACTTTTTTGCACCCCGTGGTTTTGAAAATGAGCACTATTACTCATTCACTTGTGCTTTTTTTCTTTATGGTTTTTCTTTTTTTCTTCTCTTCATTTCAGAATTGTTTTCAAAATTATTTTTATAATGTTTTAAAAATTAAATTTTTTTTGTTTGAAATAAAAAGAATTAATGTACACTTTATTTGTTTGAAATTGTACATTTTCATATTTTATCTAAAAAAGACCTTTATTGGTTAATTTTCATGAAACAAAAATTAATGAAACATTCTCTCTTTTTTTTGCACGGAAGCTCATTTCCCTTTTCTGTTTGTTTTCTGACTTTTTCTTTCACTTGTTGTTTCTCTTTTTAATTCTTTTAGATATAACATTTCTTTTGTTTTAATAAAAAATTAAAAGAATAGAAAATAAAATGAAGAGGAAGAAAAGTATACAAAAAATACTTCTATATCAAAGGGAAAATTAAACATGAAGAAAATCTGTTGGGAACCGGTTGAAAACATATTATGATTATTTAATTGACTAAATATTAAAAAAGACACTTTGTATTCTTTTTGTCCTGACATATTAAAAAAACAGGATCTTTTTTAACAAAAAAATACAAATATGTTAAATTTTTTATTTCAAACACAAGTAATTTTTATTTTTTAAAACATTTAAAAAAATAGTTTTGAAAAATCTATGTCAACAAGTTATATTAAGACAAATTAATTTAAAAATTCCATAGCAGAATATTTTTTAAAAAATTTTGATAATGTATTTTTTCAAGGAGTAGAGTATATAAAAGATATACTAAATATTGTAAGAAATATTAAAAAAATTTCTTATGTACACTCGTAATTTAAATCATTGAGATTTTTTAAACATGAATTTAATTCAAAATTTGTTGTAAA